CATAGTAGAGTGGTTGAAACACAGACCTTGGGGTCTCACTGGCCTGGTTTAAATCCCAGCTCTACCATTTAGTAGCTGTATGAACTTTGGATAAGTCATTTAACCTCTCTGAGCCCCAGTTTCCCCGCCTTTATGATGGTGGAAATAACAGTACCAACCTAATAAGGTTTTGAACATTCAGTGTGGAGGTGCAGGGTAGAATGCTGCCTATATAAGTTACTGTTAATATTTCACTATCTTACATATATTTTTACTCTTATACACCTGCCCCGATTATGAAATTCCCCCATTTTTAAAAAGATATTTGGGAATATCCCTGCCAGTGTCTCCAAAAGTCAAGTATAGGACATTTGGGTGTCTTGGTAAATATGAGAAATGAATGGAAACCCATTTGGCCCTAGATATGAGCTGCACAACATCTTCAGAAGCTAAATCATGGATCTGCTTTTCATCTGGTTCCCTGTAAACCCGCTGGGAAATGGTCCTGGAGGTCGGTGGCGGGGGGGTGGGGGAGGGTGGTCAGGGGGGACCTGAGGCTGGACTTTCTGGTCTTTCTGATGGATTCTGTGTCCATAAACATCAAGCCAGCATTTCTCCTCAGTCTGGGGTGAGATCTCACCTTCTAAGTAAATATTGTACTATCAACCCAATTCGAAAGAGGCGTGACATGTTTGCGTAAAACACACAGAGGGTACTCTGTCCCACGAGCCTCTGTGAGAGCACAGTGAACACATAAACTGGTTCTATTCCCACACTGACCAGGGGAATAATTTTATGTGGATGCTTTTATAGACCCTGGGAGATACTTTTTCTACTGTGGCAATAAAGGCTTTGTAATTGCCGCTGACTTATTTAGTGCTGTTTTCAGTCTTTACCACATCATTAAACAATACTGCACAACCAAAATACTACTATCAGCCTGACTGTACAAAATACAATGTAGCATCCTGTTGTGGATCCTGGAACAGAAAAAGGGACCTAAGGAAAGGAACTACTGAAACCCAAACACTATCCACGGTTTAGCTAAAAATAATGTACCAATGTTAATGTCTTAGTTTTGACAGGTGTACCACAGTAATGAATGATGTTAACATCAGGGGGAAGTGGGTGAGAAGTATATAGAACTCTGGGTGTTATCTCTGCTACTTCTCTGTAAACATAAAATTATTTCCAGATTAAAATTACATATAGTTTTTAGAAAGTGTGCTGTTAACACAAATGAGCTGAGAAACATTAACCTGGTCTCTCTCCTTGCACCCACAGCCTTCACTCACATCTCCCATCCTTTTTTTTTTTTTTTTAATGTTTACTTTTGAGAGGTAGAGACAGAGCATGAGCAGGGGAGAGGCGGAGAGAGACAGAGACACAGAATCCGAAGCAGGCTCCAGGCTCTGAGCTGTCAGCACAGAGCCCGACATGGGGCTTGAACTCACAAACCCTGAGATCACAACCTGAGCCGAAGTAGGAGGCTTAACCGACTGAGCCACCCAGGTGCCCCCTCCCATCTCCCATCCTTAAGACACAAGGGAGACTATATTTACTCCGCACTCCCGAAAAGCATGGGGAGTGTCCCTGGCAGGCTGGGAAGCTGGGGTGGGGGAGATAGAAGCACGTTCATAGCACTTGAGGACAAAATGTGCCTTCAAAAGCAAACTATAATTATACAGAAGCCGAGGAGCATTTGCGAAAAATCACTATCTCATCTGAATCTACATCCTGTTCATCAAAGAGGTCGAGGCCCTTTTGATTATCAGACTAAATATTTTTAGGCAATATCACTGAATGCCTGGAAAGAACATGAACAGCATCAGCTGAAGAAAAATTCATCTTCAGATAAAAAAGCAAGTCTTGCATATCACAGTAAAGATCAACCCTAGGAAATGTATAAAGGGAAGTTGACAACATTTCCCCACATTGAAGATTCCCCCCCACCACCCGGATTTGCCTTTACCCTAGTCCTCCAGTCCCTTGCTTCTAAATATCTGGATTTCTGCAGACTTTTGATTCTCTTAGCTTGACCAAGTCATAATGGAAAGATCAGAAAGGGGTCTAGCATTAGTATCAAGATGAGGAAAGAGGGGTGCCTGGGTGGCTCAGTCAGTTAAGGGTCTGACTTCAGTTCAGGTCATGATCTCATGGTTCGTCGGTTCAAGCCCCACGTCGGGTTCTGTGCTGACAGCTCAGAGCCTGGAGCCTGCTTTGGATTCTGTGTCTCCCTCTCTGCCTCTCCCCCTTTCATGGTCTGTGTCTCTCTCTCTCAGAAATACATAAACATTAAAAAAAAAAAAAAGATGAGGAAAGAGAAATAGATTGGAGATGAGTATTCTCTGAAAGCTATGTTGAGCGGGTCACTGAATAGAGATGAAAATGACACTCAAGTTTGGGTTATCGAATTCCCAGTCAAGTCTGGTAACCTGCATGTTTAGTGAAGAATACTACAACAACGGCATGGCGTGCCCCCTCTCAGTATATCACAAATGGATGCACCTTTCTTTCCATTTTTGGTAACGGTAACTCTTCACTGCTCACAATGTCCAGAGAAGGGTTCAGTTCAATAGGTGCATTTTGATTCTGGCACCAAGAGCTGGTCTAACTTCTCAGTTGGAATGAATTCCTTCTCTCCTAGTTCTCTATGGGTCAAAATGGGCTCTGGTGACTGCCTGGCCTCTTGAAGCCCCAATAATTGGTAAATATCAGTCATTTAGGCCTAGCCTGTCAATGAACTTCCAAAATCGTTCCCTCTTCTGAACACGTAAATTTTCCCTGTGTCTACAATATGTAAATAGCTCTTGGGGATCAATAAAAAGACAAAATCACTACAAGGAAGGCTATCTTTACTACCAACTACTAAATTAACTGTGAAAATTAAACTGATTAAGGGGCCCCTGGGAGGCTTAATCGATTAATCAGTTAAGCTTAATAGGTTAAGCTTCTGACTATTGGTTTTGGCTCAGGTCGTGATCTCACTCACAGTTTGTGAGTTCAAGCCCCATATCAGACTCTGTACTGACAGTCAGGAGCCTGCTACGGATTCTCTAACTCTCTCTCTGCCCCTCCCATGCTCGCTCTATCTCTCTCTCAAAAATAGATACATTTTAAACAAAATTTTAAACAAAATTAAACTGATTAATGTAAATTGGAGGAACAGCTATATGCTTATCTTTCCAGACCTTCCCAAAAATTCTAGGAAACAAGGACTGGATCATCCCAGCAGCAGGATAGGAAATTAACATCTGGTACGAATGCAGTGTTTGTGTAGACCTGGAGTTCTCTTCTGTAGTCTACCAGGAATGCTCTGGCATACATCAACCCAAGAGAACATTACAGGACATTTTTTAATTGGTATAAATATTTCTGATTACTGAGGCTCAGACATAGGCCAAACGCAAGAATCATAAATAAACCAAGTTAGTCTGTCACAAGAGACTTCTGAATTCCTCAGTGCCTGGACACCCATCTCTGAGCAGTAATTTGTCTCCAGTACAACTTTTAACAGAAGTCCCTTATTTCAACAAGATTCATTAACGCTCCGTGCCCTTTGGCCTAACGCAATGATGAAACGTGGGTGACTTCAGTGAGTTTGTTATTCTGTTTGAGTGTTGATTCAAAAATCACCACAAAACTTACAACTTCACACGAGAAACTTGTTAACTCCCCTTGGAGAGCCACGGACTCCACACCATTTCACCTTTGTCTACTCCGTGACCACACTCTCTCACGTGTGACGTCTGGGACCCACATACAACTAGGTTCTGCTTCTTTCCCAGTGACACCTGAAAGGGAATGTGCTCATTTCCATCAGAGACAGAATGGAACTCAGCAACTGCCATTTCCGAGTTGGTGCAATTTACCGTATCTTTCAGGGCTGTGAGGTTTGGTCATAAAACTTCCAACTGCTGATGTATTTCGCTGTAAAATGTGGCCATTCCTCATGCCGTTCTATGACCCGATTCATAAATAAATAATGCCAAATCATTGAATACAGTGAAACCTAAGACATTCTATTTGGTAGCCCTTTTCCAAACCATGTAAACGTTGACTTGATAACTATGTGGCAACATTTTCAAGCCTATGAAAAATTATCACAATGCAGAATCAGAGAAACTACATCACCTGTGTCACATACCGCAGATTTATTCCTCTACCCATCAAGCATAAAAATTTGTAGCCAAACAGTCCGAAATGGTGATTCAGCAAATAAGCTACCAATGCAACTTTTGTAACGGGGCTTCAGCAAAGGCGACCCAGACTATAAAATGTGCCGTGTTTTTAAGAACCTCCAGCTACCACTAAATACATCCTTTAAACTGTCTGGCTTGTGTTATTTTAAACGAAGCCCTCCACATTACTTTCATGTGGGGGGTAACTTGAAAACATAATAGCAAGGAATAAGCACCCCAAAGCAACATAACCACAAGTCAAGACCCCCCACACACAAAGGCACATGTATGTGCATGTGTACATACTCAGAGTAGTTTGCAATTATTTTTATGAAACTCTCTTTTTTATGAAAAAGAGATCAAATTCTTCTGAACTACTATCCGTTCACTGAAAACAGCATGAAGCCTAAAGGTCACAACTGGTCCACCTCAGGAAGCAAATATGCCAATGGACCACTGGTTAAACGATTTTCCGATCAAGATGAACGAATAAAATGGGTTAATGCCAAACAGATTACATAAAATGAAACAACCAAGTAACCCATTGGTTAACTAAGTCCCCATGATGAACCAACCAAGAGCGCCATTAGTTAACGGAAGAACCAACCATCAGAAGCCAACCGAATGCATCAATCTGTAACAGAAACACCAACCAAGTGAAATCGGATGATGCCGAACACAGCTAGCTAGCTTCTTCCAGAGAGATGGAAGAAAACTTGCAACTAGGCAACAAACAGAAAAGCTCTTAATGAATCCAAACACATCCCATGCAATCTGGACACGTGACCACTGCCTGGGTCACCACGTGGGGCTGGAAACGGACCACACAGCTATACTTACGAAGATTATTTATGGGAGTTCTGGTATCCATGTTTTCATAATGCTGGACATGAACCACAATGTTGAGGTCCCTCTCCATGGGGTCGGTGTTGCAGTGGCCCTGTGGCCTCATGACATCTGCAAGGGCCCTGAAAGGAGAAAGAAGTGAAATCTGTTCACTCCAAACGCAATGACTGGCACCTGTTGTGTTCTGAGCACTGTGCTTAGGAGGACGAGGCCCCTTACTCCACGGAGTTGCCATGCTCGTTAGAGGTGGGAGGGAGAAAAAGACATCAGGAAGTTAAGAAGATCACTGCAATTACAGATTACATAAGGACTTCATGCAAAACAGGACACGCGTTCCCCACAAGAGATGTGTAATTTGCAATATCAGCTACCTTGCAGAGAGCTGTGGAGAGGACTGAATGACGAATATATGTAATGCGTCTGCACCCCATAAACTTAGCCCCCCTCATAGCTGACACCTGATACCACACCCCACGTACATCAGTGGTCCACTATTAGCCACAAATAACATTTATAGGGTGCTTACAACAAGTGGGGCACCGTGTGAATCACGTTAAGCCTTAACTAAGGGGCTTACAAACACCTCATGAGGTTTATTACTCCTTTCTTTGCAGATGAGCGGACAAAGGCTCAGAGAAGTGAATTAACCTGCTGAAAGTCACACAGCCCGTTGCATGGGTCTTTGAACAAGAGTCCGTTTTCACAGCTCTGTACGCTGAGTGCATTGGGTTTCCTGTAGTTAGGGAGGATTTGGCACGATCCATCCATACCCCCCAAGGTGGGTGCCCCTCTTAATCAGTAGTTGGGACATAGGGCAAGCTTACAACCTGAGTCACCAACTGTGTTTTATCGTCACGTTTCGCCTCCTTGACACTCATCCAAGGGTCAGTATTCTTTCGGCTGTCTTTGACAAATAAGAAAACCAGTTGAGAGGTGTTAAGTGGCTATGTGAGTTTCTCCCAGCTGCCGTAACAAAGTGCCCCACACTAAGTGGCCCCAAACCACACAAATGTACTGTCTCACAGTTCTGGAGGCCAGAAGTCCAAAATCAGGATATTAGGAGACTCCTCCCTTGCCTCCTCCTGGCTTCCGGTGGATTTCTGGTGGAAATCTCTGGCATCTGCTAGCTCGCAGCTGCCTCAACCCCAGGCTCTTCCTCTGTCTTTGCCCCGTGTGTCTCATGAGGCTCTGTCTTCCCGTGAAGACCTGCTTTTAAGGACACCAGTCATACTGGGTTGGGGTGCACCCTCCTCCAGGATAAGCTCATCTCAAGTCCTTACATGTGCAAAATCCCATTCCTCAATAACGTCACATTCTGAGGACCACAGACCAGGACTTTAAAAAAGCTTTTGTTACGGGAGGGGGTACACCGTTCACCCAGAACGGTGACCTTCACAATTAGATGTAACCTTAGTAAAGCCGTTCAGCATTTGCACAGAGAGCAGAACAGAGGTAAGTGCCAAGCGGATACCACATCTAAGGTCAGACCTCACCACCCCACGTCTGCCTCTCGGCCTACCCTCCACCAGGGCATTCCTGAGACAGGACTATCCTTGAATAATACGTACTATTGTGGGTCTAACTGCACAGGGATGCATCTCTGACACGCTCAGCACCTCCCTGCCTCTGAACACAACACAGCCATAGGCACCCTCATTCATGCCTCCTCTTGGACCAGGGAGAGCTTCTCAGCCCACAAGTCATACTGCCATGGTTTAGGATACATCCAGATGCTCCTAACCAACCAGAACCCTCTGAGTCCACACCGAGGGAGACAGAGACGGAAGGAGAGCTGTTTGCGAGAGGTCAGCCTGCCGGCTGAAATTTACCCCGCCCCCCCCCCACCACCCCTTATAGCATCGATTCTCAAACAATGTCTGCCAACGAGCGGCACCAGCATCACCTGGGAGCACGTTAAAAGGCAAATTTTCGGGTCCACCCAGACCTACTGACTCAGAAACTCCAGGGGCAGCCACCTGAGGTTTCAGGTGCACATCCAAGTCTGAGCCTGTGTTAGGCTCACGGAGGCCCCAAGCTCGGGGACTGAGTGGTTGCTCAGGGGGCAAGGAGACAATGGCCCAAAAACCACAGCAGGTGAGAAGTGTCAGATGTGAACTACAAGGGACACAGCAAGAGTCCCTCGCGCATTAGAGGAAAAGACTGAGCGTGCCAAGACACAAGACAATAATGACAGCTCCCAATCATTCACTCATTCACTCAACAAATATCCATTGCCTACTATGTGCCAGGCACTAGTCAAAGCTCTGGGAACACAGCCAGTGTGCAAGATGCACAAGATCACTGTCTTACCAAAGCTTGTATTCTAGGGGACAGGATAAAAAAAATATATGCGTGTTAAATAACTTTTTAAAAAGTATAACACGATCAAGCGACACCGGCACATGGCAGCCTTATTCACAATAGCCCCAAAGTGGAAATAACCCAAATCAGCTGATGAATGGACACGCAGAAGGTGTTATATGCAGTGGAGTATGATTCAGCCACAAAAAGGAAGGAAACATCGACACCTGCTACAACATGGATGGAACCTGGAGACTTGAAGCTCCTTGCAAAGGACCCAAAAAGCCACGGAGTACGTGATTCTATTTCCATTAAGTGTTCAGAAAGGGTTAATCCATAGAGATAAAAAGGAGACCAGTGGTGGCCAGGGACTGGAGATAGGGAGGACTGGGGAGAGGCTCTAGAATGTATACAGACTTTCAACCATGAAAATGTTCTGGGATCAGACAGGAGTGATAGTTGCTTCATTTTATGAATATGTCAAACACCAATGAATTGTACACTTTTCTACTAAAATTCTACATAAACAGAGAGAGAGAGAGAGAGAGAGAGAGAGGGAGAGAGAGATAAGGTGACCAGGAAAAGCTTTCCTGAGGAGTTGACATTTGAGGTGAGCCCTGAACTGTAAGAAGGAGTTGGTCGTGTAAAGGTGATGGAAAGAAACTTCCTGGCGGCTGGAGCAGCAAATGCAAAGGCCCTGGGGCAGTAAAGAGTTCATATAACTTGAAGTACAAGCCAAAAGGCCAATGAAGCTGGAGGATAGGCAATAAGGAAGGACACTTTCAAGGTGAGGATTATCCTACCCATTTTATGGAGCAAAAAAAAAAAAAAAACTGTTCAAGTTCACCCGGCGCATCACTGCAGGGACTGAGATACAAACCCGAGTGTCTCTGAAATTACAGTTCAGCCTCCCTCCTCACTCTGTGCTGTAAGCAGAGTCTGAAACTCAAGGAGGCTGCAGGAAACCGAAGGTTTGAGGTAAAGCAGGCGCTCCAAACCTGATATGCCTTTTTCAGTTCTAAACAGGATCTTCATCATGAACTTCAGGGGGTCCCTGGACCCCTCGGGAATTGAATGGAAATTTTGTTTGTGCATTTTTCTCAAGCAAGGAGCCATAGCTTTCACCAGTTCCTCTAAGGAGTCCCCCCCGGAATTCCACGTTATTCAGGCTTTCAAGAGGTTAGCAAAGTAAGTTATCAGGACAGCTACCACGAACTCGGTCAGCACGGCTATCTGCACATTCCCTGGGCCTCTCTGGGGTGCTGAAATTCCTGAAAACCCAGCCCAAAAGCCAGGGATGCTTTTCCCCAAGGCAGCCCTTCCCAGGGCATGCAATGGAGATGAGAGTTCTTAAGAGGCCTCCATATCCTGGAAAAGCAGCCTTCAAAGTAGAGTCCACTCACTGTACGCACCACAAAAAAATGATTCGGCATAAGGACAGGAAATCCAAGAACTCCTGTGTATGGTCTTTAGTCGTTCAAGTGAGGAATCAATGCAATATGGGTATGGATGCTGGCACCCTCACTTGAGATGCCCACGTCAGCCAGCGAGAATCAGGAAGCTCAGACCAAGAACGGTGACTGGGGTGCATTGCCCATATTACAGCTATGTCCCCCCTAAAGGGGATAGGCAGATACATTATCTAGGTTTAGCAAGGCTAACCATCACTGAGCAGGTGCATGGCTTAACCACCACCACCGCCGCCCTCACAATCATAACAAAACCACAGGCTGAAGAAAATTCTGATAGAGGAAGCACAAGAAAACAATCGCGTTGTGGGTGATGGGCATTGAGGAGGGCACCTGTTGTGATGAGCACTGGGTATAGTATGGAAACCAGTAAATTTTATATATACACATAAAAAGAAAACAATTGCGTTGCCTCTCCACTTTTCTTCAACAGCTAGCTTGTTACAAGGTTAAAAACAACAATGTTCTATTCAGATCAAAGCCAAGTCAGCCAAAAATAGTCAAAATTCTCATGAAAAATATTCAAAATGTGGACTGTTTATTAATGGTAAGTTTCATCCTCAACAAACATCATGATGTGACATTAGCTAATGATTGCATGATGTCATCATGCTTACCAACAGACTTTAATATTTACTGCATCTTCAGCTCAGCTTAAAATTTGTTTTTAGGTGTGCTTTATGATGTACCTAACAACTGTTCACCGGTCCATGCACATACTTATTAGTACAACAAATGTGTATGGATTAGGGTACAGACCAAAAAACATGTTAAAATACGTGTCCAAAAAGCTTCATAAATAAGACAATGGACATCACCAACTATGTGCTATAAACCAAATTCCCAACGATTTGCCATCTATTTGCAGCACATAGTTTGGGTGCTTCTCAAACCATGTGCATTCGTGCTACCTCGGGTCTTGTTAAAAATGTAGATTCTGGGGCGCCTGGGTGGCCCAGTGGGTTAAGCATCCGACTTCAGCTCAGGTCATGATCTCGCAGTCCGTGAGTTCAAGCCCCGCGTCGGGCTCTGTGCTGACCGCTCAGAGCCTGGAGCCTGTTTCGGATTCTGTGTCTCCCTCTCTCTCTGACCCTCCCCCATTCATGCTCTGTCTCTGTCTCTGTCTCAAAAAAAATAAATAAATGTTAAAAAAAATTAAAAATAAAATAAAATAAACCTTCAAGAGAACTCATGTATGCAAATGAGTGTTTCCCTCTAAGAAAAAAAAAAAAATGTAGATTCTATTTCAGTAAGTCTGAGGCAGGGCATGAGATTCTTCCACTCAAGCTCCCAGGTCACGAAAATGAGGCAGCTCCACAGGACATACTCTGAGTACTAAGTCCCTAAAAGAA